CCAAGACTTTGAAGGGGTCCAAGGTTTCTCAACTTCAGCATTTTGGGGCTGGATAGTTCTATGTTGTAGGGGACTGTCCTGTGCTTGTAGGATGTTTATTGAATCCCTGGCCTCTAACTACTAGATGCCAGTGGCTCCCATGCCCAGCTGTGACACCAAAAAATGTCTCCAGACATTGCCCAATGTCCCCTGAGGGCAGAATCAGCCATAGCCCAGAACCATTTGTTGACCACATATCCTATACCCCATGACAAATGAGTTGAGCCTTGGGCCTCAGTTACCCCATCTGCCTAGTGGGCTTAGCATCCACAGTGCTGTCTGCCCCCTCGACTGGGTCAGCCTTAGCCCCCTGAAGATCTCCAGGCCTGTTATGCAACCCCCTCACCCTACTGAAATTCTGGCATAAGGATCAAAGAAAAATGTTTGTTTCAGCCCAGACTCCACGTTTAGGGAAGAGTGAGCCAGCCAGAAGCCCCCTTCCTGACTACGCTGGAAGGACTGCACCTGCCCTCTCTTGGCCGAGCCTCTGTCCCTGCGACAGGTCCTTTCCCTCAACTCATAGGCTGTCTTCTTCTTTTACAGAGAAAAACTGTTCCTACTTTAGGCATTTTAACCCAGGAGAGAGCTCAGAGATCTTCGAAGTCACCACTCAGAAAGGTGAGCCCGTGATGGAAAGCAGGGGGGGGGAGGAAAAGTGCCTTCCGTCACACACCGCTGGGCCAGAAAATCATCTGGCACAAAAGCCCTGACTTCCGGGCTCTTGATTAAAAGCAGCCCCATCCCAACGCTATTTGAGCAGCACCTTGTGGCCCTCTGTGCTCCATCTCCAGGCACCTGAGCCCCATTCATCAGGGCCTGAGAGAGTTTGTAGAAGAGACATTTCCTGATGGGCTCCTAAATTGCAGAAGGGATACATTTTCCATCAGAGCCCAAGGGAGGCAGCTGTGACAGGCGCAGGAAAAGGAACAACTACTCAAAAACCCTGTGATGGTTTTCAGGGCTGGTGGATCAGAGTCTGGGGAAGTGTCTGATTCCCTTCGCCACCACAAATCACTCTCCAAGGATCAGGAAAGCAGGGACATGGGGAGACACCTAAGGGTCCATGAGCATACCTGCCCTGGGATCCTCGTGGGAAGCATGGAGCTCAGGTGCACGCCCACTGTCGGGAGTGCCAACCTCCATCTGCACGTGGCGTGGCACATGCGCACATGCACTCACTTTGACAGATCCTTTCGTGCCCGTGCACACGCACTTTAGCAAACCTTTTCCCCTGTGCTATGCGTGCACTTGCACGTGCACACACACATACACACCCTGATAATCTCCCACGCTGTAACAAGCCACACTTACAGAGGCTGCTTTGCAGTCCCAACACAGGTCACCCTCAGCCCAACTGCCACCTTCTGCCCTGTCACATGGAGAAGTTTTCTGCCCCAGGAAGGTCTCCAGTGTGAGCCTGCTTTCTTGGCCCCTGCGTCTGGGGGGAGGAAGCTGCAGCTTAGTTCCACCTGGCGGATGGAATCAGGTCATGTTGATATCCCGGCCCCACCTCTTACCTGCCGGGTGCCTTTGCAGCATTCATTTCATCTCTCGGGCCCTCAGTTTTCTCCCATGTGAAATGGGAATAAAAAGTGGTATTTCACTCACGTGACGGGAGGCACAGCCAGCCGGGACAGAGCACCCCGGGGCCCGGGCTGCTGCTGGGGTGCGGGGGTGCCAGCTCCGGCCCTTGTGTCCTAGAGTACAGCATCTCGGCCGCCGCCATCGCCATCTTCAGCCTCGGCTTCCAAATCATGGGCACCATCCTCGTGCTGCTGTCGTTCAGGAAGAAGCGGGATTACCTGCTGCGGCCTGCGTCCATGTTCTATGCCTTTGCAGGTAGAAGGGGGGCCCCCACCTGTGCGCCTGTGTGCGCGGGGCGGGGAGGATGCCCCGGGGAGGCCCCGACCCGCTCCCACGCCGGCCTGGGGATTTGAGTGGCTACGGGGAAATTCACAGGCTTCCCCGGGAGCAAGATTGGTCCGGGCCTCCGCGCCTCGGGCTGGGCCGGAGGGGCGGATCTCGGCATTCTGTCCACTTCTCACAGAGACTTAATCTCGCGGCCCTGCCAGCAGTGCTACTGCTAACCAAATTTAAAATTAATTTAAAAATACTAACAAAAGAAGGAAGAAAGGCAGTCAACTGGAGGGATGAGAGGGTGGGCGGCAGGCAGGCTGCTCTGATACCCGCAGCCTCCCCCCGGGGCCGGGCCGTCCCCGCGGCGCTCGCAGGCAGGCCTGGAGCGGAATCCGGGCCCGAGCGCCGCCCTGCCCGCAGGTCTCTGCATCTTTGTCTCGGTGGAGGTCATGCGGCAGTCGGTGAAGCGCATGATCGACAGCGAGCACACGGCGTGGATCGAGCACTCCTACTCCTGGTCCTTCGCCTGCGCCTGCGCCGCCTTTGTCCTCCTCTTCCTCGGCGGCCTCGCCCTCCTGCTCTTCTCCCTGCCTCGGATGCCCCAGAACCCCTGGGAGTCCTGCATGGACGCCGAGCCCGAGCACTAGCCCTCCTGGGGCCCACGGACCCTCCTCCGCGCACCCCCCTCTGGAAGCCGAGCCCAGCCCAGAAGTTCTAGAGAGGAGGCGGGGGCGTCACCTGCCCCACACCCACGCAGCTACTCCCCTTCTCTGAGCTTTTTGCTGGGCTCAGACAGGCTCCTCTGAGAATGAGCAAGTGGACATGATCCAGACCTGCCCGTCGAGCCAGGAAGGCAGGGCTAGCAGGTGCCCAGGGGTTGGGAGAGCCCGGCTTTCCATTGGGCTCCAACTGTCCCCCGCTTTCGGACCCCCCTCCCTGCACCAGCTGTCTTTGATAGGCTGGCTCCCGTTGTCCTCTGTTAGCCGCAGAGGGACGCCCCGTGCTCACTTCCAGTTCTGGGCACTCCCCTGTGTACATAGCCAGCCCCTCTCCCCTTGTCCATGACTTTCCTGGTTGAGCTGAATAGCCCCTCCTTGGTTTTGAGGAGGCCTGAAAAACATTTTTTAACTGGATAGAATCTGACTGTGGTTTGAAATAAAAGTTCTTTGAAAACTTACTTTTTCCTGGTGCCTCGCATAGAAATTGCTTGGATTCCTGACCACAGTAGGCCACAGCCTCATCACCTGGAAGGAGAAAGCACAGGATGTCCCCCTGAAATGTTGAGGACTATTGTAGAGAGATGTAGGGCTCCGGGGAAAGGGGGTCCTGTTTACTAATGAGACTTGGAGGATTTGATTTCTGTCTGGTGTCTCTGGGCCCTGTGATTTACTCTGGGAGAAACCAGAGCCCATCTGACTAGGCAAGAGTGTTAAAAATAGGAAGGGTCATTTCCAGGGTGCCAGCAGGCTGGGCTGCCAAGTGCTAACCCAGCACTCACACAGCACAGCCACAAGTGTTGTCTGCTTTCAGATGCGGGATTTTTGCTGCTGAGAACACCAGGAAGCAGGGCTTAGCAGTTAGACACTTAGGGCTACGCGGAGTGTCGAAATTTAAACTCTCCTACCTCCCAAATCCCTGCCGTACTCACCACCCCTCAGAAATGGCAAGTTGGACATAGCTGGCAGAAAGGATCTATGTGCTCCTTACCTTGAACATGCACTTCAAGGCCCTAGAGCGGGTTGCAAACTACAGCCCTTGGGGCAAACCTGGCTCTCTCCCTGTTGTTGTCCGGCCCATAAACTAAGAATGGTTTTCACCATTTTAATTGGTTTTTAAAAATTAAAAGAATATCTTATAACATCTGAAAATGATTTCTATTTCAGTGTCCATAATAAGTTTTATTGGAGCTGTCACAGATACACAAAGCCACCAAAGTGGTAAGGACAGATTTTAATCAGTAATTTACAACTGCCCATAGGGAAGAGTCCAGTATGAACTGGCCTCAGCTGACATTTATACAGAGGGAGAATGAGAGCGCAGGGAGGGGCGGCCTGGGCTCGGCAGAGTGAAAGAAGGGAAAGATTACAAAAAGCAGGGAGGGTAGAGTCAGCCCACGTGAGACCTGACTGGATTCGCTAACGGGCGCTTATCACAGTCGCTCCCACCCTCTCCCACGGCTGGGAGACTGGCCCTCTTCCCGTGCTGGCTGGGACAAAGAGCAAATTCTTCAGGCAGCCTTGAGCTTTCTCAGGCAAGTACTTTAAGGGGGGCTGGGGTCTTCCTAGGGACTCAGCCTTGAGCTGTTAGAAACTTGGTTAGTGTTTGTCCAAGTCTGTGTAGGCCAAGGTTGAACTGAGAAGAGGGCACAGAGCCTGCAGGCTAGAGTCTTGTCAGAACACAGCCACGCCCCTTCTATGGCTAATTCTGACTAGGACGGCAGTGTTAAGTAGTTGTGACAGAGACTGTCTGGCCTGCAAAGTCAGAAATATTTACTATTTGGCCCTTGTGGAAAGTCTGCTGACCTGTTTGGAGTAACTGTATACTCATCAGCCCACTTATTAACTGTAAAGTGAGGGGACAGACCCTTGTCCAGTCCGCTTGGGACAACTTAAAAGGAAGGAGCGTTACTCCCAAGGCATGTGGGTTGTGGCCTTGGTGGAACCTTGTGGAGATTCTCCTCTGATATCTCAGGGGTCTGGGCTGGGCCTGGAGGAGCAGCTGAGGAGCCCGGGGGGCGGACAGGGAGCGCAGCCCAGCCTGCTTCTGAGCCAGGGACAGAGAGAACGTCCAGCCCATCATTATGAAATCAAAAAGGCCAAAGACAGCAGGGTGACATGCATGCAGGGTGATGAAGTCAAAGCATGGGGGCTGCAGAGAAGGGCAGGTGGCAGGTGAGACCCAGAGGAGGCTGCATGGCTCAATGTGGTCCCACGGCCAACAGGACAGTTCCACAGATGCAAAGAATATCCTGAGCACAAACTGTCTCCAAGTAGGAGAAGAGGAAAATGAAAGTCTGGGCCAGCCAGCAAGATGGGGCCACCGTTTACAAGCAGGAAGGGAGACAAATGACCTCATCCCACCAACGCTATTTGGGAGGCGAGTATTATTGTCATATTATTGCTTTTAGCAGAACTAGACATGTGCATATTATATTTTTCATGGATGGCTGTGTTTTTAGCACCAAAAACCACTTCTGAGTGGAATATGCACTGAACAGAATGCCCATGGCTTCCCAGAGTGTTAACTCTTTCAAGAGAGACATAGGTGTGCTGGGAACTGCTACGCAAAGGGGTTGTAAGGCTGGCCAGAGAGCTACACATCATTGCATCTGCTCCAGCCTCTGCTGTGCAGAAAAATGCAATGCAACAAAGCAAAATAGATCCTGACAACCGAGAAACAAAGAAATCAACCAAATCACCAAGGGAAAACATCTTTTCCTCCCTAGCCCGCTAGCATGCTTGCCAGGAAGGATGTGGAATGGGCAGTGGTCAGAATTGCTCGGGTTAGGGCTTGCACACGATTCAAGGTGTCCACTGGGCTCCCTGCAGAGTTCAGCCAGGCCAGGCTCTGAGGGCCTGCCAGTGGACCCACCAGCGAGACAACAGCATGAAATGGTGTGGTTAGCATCAGAAACCCACGGCTTCTCATTCCTCACTTGGGCATGTGTGAATTTAACAGTCATCAAACCCTGAGGTCCCAAAAACACTTTCACTTTCTCAGCTTTTAAAATTCATCGCATTCCATGAGGTAAGGAAGGTAGCAGAGCCCAGACTAGCAATTTAGTCATCAAGATAAATAATATTTAAGTGTGAGATTTTTAAAAATTGTGGTAAAATATACACAGCATAAATTTACGATCTTAACCATTTTTAACTGTGCAGTTCAATAATGTCAGGTACGTTCATACGGTTGCACAACTGATCACCAGAGTTCTTCATCCGCCTGAACGGAAACTCTGTCCCCATTAAACAACTCTCCATCCCAGCCCCTGGCAACCACCCTTCTACTTGCTGTTGCTATGAATTTGACTATTTCAGGTACTCCTTCCTATGAGTGGAATCATCCAGAGTTTATCCTTTTGTGTCTGGCCTATTTCCCTGAGCATGTCCTCAAGGCTCATCCATGTTGTACCAGGTGTCAGGACGTCATTCCTCTTCAAGGCTGAGTAATATTTCACTGTGAGCATAGACCACAGTTCGGTTATCCATTCATCCATCAGCGGACACTTGGGTTGCGTCTACCTTTTGGCTGTTGTGAAATAATGCTACTATGAACGTGAGTGTATGAGTATCTTTGGGGCCCTGTTTTCAATCCTTTCTGATATATACGATGTGACATTTTTTAATTCAAAATTATTGCAAAATCTCCATGATGCACATAATATCAAAATTTTAAACAGAGACAAGATCCGTGTGATTGGTTATTCCTTTTCTATCCCATTCCTGTGGTTCCGATGGCAGTGGGAGGTAGCCACAGTGACCTTCATTGTACAGAGCAGAAAACTGAACACAGGGGAGGGCTTGCTTCCTGAGACTGGTTGACTGGCAGCCATGGAGGAATGTGAACTGAGGCTGCTGGTGTCCCACCCGTCTAGCCAGGACCCTCTACCAGCCCTCACGTGACCTCTGCCTGGGCAACTGGAGAGATCAAGAGACATCTCACCTTCTCTCAGGCTAACACTCAGCAGGGCCTGTGCTACCTGGTTTGGTTCTCATTTCTCCCTCCTCAAGACTGAAAATTCCCAGGATCTCTGTGTGCCTCTCTTTGTCCTGGCTACCCCAATAAAAAGGGGTTTTATTCACATGCTACTGCTGTATTTCCCCTGCCAGTGTGACTTGTCCCATTTGTGAGCAAATATTTTATTTACAAAGTCATTTCTAATTTATAGCCTGCCCACTTTCAGAAAAGATCTGAAGAAGAGACCAGATGTTAATAAACCTATGATGTGGAACCTATCTATTAAACCCATGGCTGGTGTTGGGGCTGCAGTGCAACTGCCCGTGGCCTCCCCAAGCCCTCATGGCACGGTCTCAGCTGCAGCCACCGAGCCTGTAAATTGATCCCCACACAAGGCGTCCACCATGCACAGTGAAGTTCATTAAGGTAATTACCATTACAAAGAGTGGTACTTTCTCTTCTTTTGACTTTGCCCCTGACAAGAATTTTTTGGCCTGAATGTGAGAGAGCTGACCTCTGAGAAATGTTCACTGATTTGGGTTTAGACTTGCCCCTCTCTTCACCCACAGAGAAATGGAGGACGGAGACCTGTCTACAGCCACTACCGGAGAGTTCTGGGCTCTGAGCTGGAGGAGCTCAAAAAGAAAACCCCAGGTCCCTGATGTAAGCAGCTCACACCCTTCCCGCACGCACCCTGCCAGGCTGGGCCACACGGGCCTCAGGGCAGCCAAGCGCATGGTCCAGGCCCTTAATGAGGTGAACAGGGACAGGATGCAGGTACCTAGAAATGCCCAAGGGGCAGGGAGGCGATGGTGTGTGAGCCTCTTCACCCAGTGGGGACTAAGAGCGAAGAGCGAGCCCAGGCCACGCCTCAGTGGAAGGCAGCCCGGGGCCATGGCCTCGGGGAGGAGGTGCGGGGGAGGGGGGGCCTCCAGCCCCAGGGCTCCGGAAGCCAGGCATCCGACGGTAGCAGAGAGCCGGGTCCAGACACCCCTGAGGCAGGACGCAGTGATGTCGGGCTGGGAGCAGCTTCTCCTCCCGATAACCCTCAGGCAGGAGGCGCCCCAAGCCAGAAATGGCTTCGGGGAAGCCTAAGGCCAGGCCGGCCCTCAGTCCAGCCCCGCTGGGCCTCCACGGCGCCCGCTCTGCTGCCGCTCGCCACCCCGGTCATTTCCCCAGCCCGGGGGCTGCACCGCCGGCTGCCACACCGGGACCGTGCCCAGCTGGCACCCGAGAGAAGGCAGAGGTGGGCAGGGACATAACTGCTGCGAGGGGAGTAATGCAGGTCTGCGAGAGGGTAAAGAGCCATTGGGGCTGCCAAGCAACAGAGCCATCCATCTGCATGGACGCGGGCGCCGATCCGCAGAGCTGCGATGCCGTACTGTCGTCCTCGAGGCCCTACGCGGTGCCAGGCCTGCTGCTGTAACAGGACCTGTAGCCCAGGGCAGCCGGGAGCCTTCCCCGGGCCCCGCCTTCCCCGCCTGAGAACACACCCCAGCCCACACTAGACTGGAGCACACGCGAGGCTAGCTCTTCCTTACGGTTCCCCCGGTTCTCTCTGGGTCTGTTAATGCAAGGGGATACACGATAGGGTCCCAAACCGCAGGGCACATGATTTAAAAACTCTCTGTAAGATACACTTGAAATAGTAGTTAAGAGCCCAGTAAGCTGGGCTGAGCACTTGACGTGTGTTTTCTCTCTTAAGCCTCAACACCACCTGTGCCATAGCTACTGTTTTTATGCCCGTTTTAACAAATGAAGAAGCTGAGACTCAGCAAGGTTGGTATCTAACCCAGAGCCACACAACCACTAAGTGGCAGAGAAAAGAATCCGAACCATGTTCCTTTCCGCCTCCCAAAGCTGAGCTGTCAGCCATCTTGCTGCATCATGTAAGTTTGGTCTTTCTGGGTTCGTTTCCCGGAGACACCAAGGTGTCCTGAAGGCCCCTTGTGAGGTGTGCAGATATTGGACTCCAGTTAATTCAACTGGAATGAAAAACCAACACATGCTTATATAGGCTCCATGCATTATCTGGGTACCTCAAAGACTTCCAAAGAATTAAAACTTGTGCTGTAACTTTCCTGTAAGGAGATTTAAAAACCAAGTTTCTTCAGCTGTTTCTTTGCATACATTTCAACTTCTTGTCTGTGTTTCAAAGATTAGGATTTTTATTCTGGACTTGTCTTTGTCAAATTCAGGCCTGTGCATGTCTGCTAAGACAAAATGACACAAGCACACATACTATTACCTTCATAAATCACAATGTTTGCTCACATTGTCCAACCAAAACAAAAAGAGTGAGTGTTGTATTTAGGTATCAGATTGTATCTTTCATAAATTCCAATTTCAAATGTTTGTGGCTTTTCAGAATATCCAAATTGCTATAATGAATGATTTTATGAGAAGCTGTTACAAATTGCATTTATTAAATAAGTTTATAAAAGTCCAAATGTGTATTTTATATAGCATATATTTAGACTGCAATAGTAGACTTCATTCAGAAAAAAATTCTGTTGCTTAAAATTTTTGGAAACTATTGGCAACCATTTGATCAACTTTAGATTCCTTCTGGCCACCTTCAAGGAGTAGATCGTGCCTTCATAACTTGTAGGAGTTCAAGAAAGAAAGATCTTAAAGTTTACATTGTTCATCTTATTGGTAGCTAGGGACGGTTTTTGAGGAAGGAAGTGGTACAATGAAGATAAAATACTTTTTTTTTTCTGTTTACCCCATTGAGTATCAACATTGTGTTCTAGGCACTGTACTAAACTAGAACACAATGGAGAAATAAGTTATGGTCCTGTCCTTCAGGAACTTAGTGTTCAATGGCAGAGGATTTAAAAATACAATTGGCTTTTGGGTAATGTGGGGGTTAGAGGTACCCATACCCTGTGTGACTGAAAATCTGTGTGTAACTTCTGACCCCCCAAAACTTAACTACTAATAGCCTGTTGTTGACCAAGAGCCTTACTGATAGCCAACAGCATACTGACACATATTTTTGTATATGTATTATATACTGTTTTTTGGCGTAAAGCAAACTAGAGAAAAATGTTTCTTTCAAATTGTCAAAAATCTCCAGAACATTTTCCAATATATTTATTGAAAAAAAATCAAGTGTAAGTGGATCTGCACAGTTCAAACCTGTGGATTCAAGGGTCAACTGTAAAGTATACATGCATGAGATTTAGGTAGGTCCCTTTGCAGCTCAGAGGGGCACATGGCTGCCCCCTTTCTTAACCTGCTGAAGTCCTACTTATTCAGTGGGGCCCAGCTCAGACATCACAAGGTGACATGTTCTCCAAACCCGCTCTTGTGCCCTTGACCCTCTGTTCATATTCCCAGTACTTACGCCATTCTGTACAGCTCATTGTGCCTGCATACCTCGCTGGATTGTAAACTCTTCACAGGGAAGGGCTGTATTGTCTTCAGAATTATCCTAGCAGCTAGAAGCTTCCCCTGCCCAGTCCCTTTCCCAAGTCCTCTGCACAGTGTACAGTATATAGTACCCTCAGAACATGCTGGTACATTGAACAAGTGCATGAATTACATGCCCTCAAGGAGGGAAATAGCAGGAAGGAGCGCTTGCAAAGACATTGCAAAGAGAAATCAGGAAGTGCAGTAAGAGGGCCTCTAGAAGCAAGGGAGGAGCTTAAAAGGCCCACTGTGTGTGATCTAGTTCTCTGGCCTCAGGTGTCTGCAGCCAGAGTGGTTTGTCCCCGTGCTTGGCTGGAGTCAGGTTAATGAGACCGAGCCAGCTGTTATTTGCTACAGCAGAGCGCACAGCTGCATAGCTCCCAGATGAGATGCTTTCCTGAGCTAGAGCAGATCAGCCGACAGCCTTGGAGAACAGATTTCCAAAAGTGCTTTGTGAAAAGTGAAAAACTACCATTAATGACAGACATTAGATTGCAATTTTTTTTTTCAAAATAGTTTTATCTTCTATCCTGTTAGCAGAACCATCCCAGTAGGTATTATTTGGGTCCTAGAAGGCCTATAGGGTCACCCTGAGGAGGAGATTTGATTCATCAGATGGAGTCTATTTGCTTACCCACCTCCCAAGAATTTCGTTACCTTTTCCCAGGTTATATCACTTGCTTTAAGCCCAGTTGCGAAGCCAAGAGGACTGAATCTTCAAAGCTTTCTCTTAGAAGAGCCTCAGCCTAGAGCACCCACTTCTGTTTAGCTCTATAAGAACACGTGCATGTCTAGATTCCAAACAGATAAAAGACGTAGAACGACAAGCCTCCCACTCTTGTGACTTCAGGCCCTTCCCCTTTGGCTCCTTTTGTGGGTTTTGTACGTAAAGGAAACAAAAACCTAAAGACTAATTAGAATCCATATGAGTTTCCGTTGCAAGGTCCCGCACACTTTCAGGCACTCTGCTTACACTGAGAGGGCGTCTCATCGGAAGCCTCAGATTGCATTGCTATTCAGGGAGGGAGCAAACAGCATCAAACAACATTCTCCTCTGCTCTTTGCAGGGAAGCCCGGAGGGTGAGCCCACCTTCCGGACCATCGGCTGGCACACCAGGTCCTCTAACCAGAACCGCTTTCTTCTCAGGGATCAGCAGCTCGGGTTCCCAAAGCAATGGTTCAAATGAACGTACAGAGCATCAGTTTAAACGAACTAAGAGTGGGATAATATCATGGATTTTGCAGGCTGCAGCTTCTATTCCATTTAATTACCTCCCTCTGTGGATTTAAAATCAATCAGAGCTTCAAAGGGGGAATTTCATCACTTTCCCAGAACTCTCCCTGGTCGGGATGTGCCTACAAACCAGGATGTGCTAAAGTAGGCAGTATCCATCAAAATTGACATAACCATGGTGAAGCTGTCAAACTAAGCATTCTTACAGTGATCCCTGGTAAGACACAGTACTGGTGAATGCTAATGTTGTGTCACTGCTCAGGGGAGAGCCGTGCAGAGTGGGTGGGGACAGCTCACTCCTCCTGCACTCCAGGCCATCACATCTGCTAAATGTTGTCATCTGGCCACTCTGCATTGGCAAAGGATGTTGGTGGTGGGGAGTGGAGAGTCTTTAAGAGCCTCCATCAAACTGCGGGCCAGTTCCCAAAGCATTAGAGGGCCCACTATGTAAAAGGCATAGGGCCAGAGCTGTAGCTTTAGAGGTCTTAGGACATGATCTCTTGTCACCCAGAAGCTCACAACTCTAATAGAAGAACTCTGAGAACAGAGGTACAAGGCTTAATTGCAGGCACAGAGAAAAAGGGGGTTAATTCCAACTGGGGGGGATGGGAGGGGGAACTTGCATAGGGTCTTGACGAGGAAGTAGAGCTCCCCCAACTAGACCTGGAGGTTGGGAGGATGAGTGCTTAAAGAGCATGCTTGGGAGCAGAGAGACGAGAGAGTCAGGGCCTCGTCTAGGGAAGAAATGGCAAGTGGTCTGATGCAGGCTGCCACGGGCAGTGCTCAGGGGCAGGACTTGGGGGTGCCTCTGAAGTTCAGCTATGAAATTTGAAGTTTAGGATGTGATGGGAAACCGCTGTGGGCATCTCAGGAAAAGAGAGGTCCAAGCAGATCCGATTCAGAAAGGTAAATGGAACTGAGGTAATACAATCAAGATGAGGGGCTTCCAATCTGATGAAAAGGACTTCCATCCACTAGGGAACTGGTTTGTTGAGAAAATACTATGTTAAGTCAAGCAGCAGAGTCAATATCAGACCAAGGGCTCTTCGACTGCTTAAAACCAATCAAGCAGTCAATTGGAAATTGAAATCAAGCAGTCAGCTGACAATTTGAAAAGGCCTCATTTTCTCACTGCCCATTAACGATCTTCAAACTTTCAGGTAACACTTTAAGCCTGTAGGCCTTTGCTACTGCTGACGGTATTTGGATGTTCCAGTTTAACCAAGTTAAGTGCGAACAATTCTCCATTCCCACAGCACTTCCACTAAGCTGACCCTCTAGCTTCATGCCTGACCTGCACTCCATACAGAGGGCTCCCACCTTACAGCTGTGATGAAATGACATTTTCCTGCTAACTCTTATTCTGATACTGCTCTCAGAAAAATGCTTCGAAGAGCCAATATGGCCGAGGAATTACCTCCTGAGATGGTCGTATTTGTATTTTCCTGGTGACAACTGGGTTAACTTCGTCAAGAGCAGACAGCACGAGGCACCCTCTGTCCTCCACCTCCGTTTGATTCGTATGTAAAGAAGTGTCTCTTTCAAAATCCAGAGATGATTTATAGTGTATCCTATCAATTCAACTCCAAGAAAACAAGATACTTTGCTTACAAAACTGATTCACTGCAGGGAGTTAAGAATTACAAAGTGTCCTTATGGAAGGTTGACTGTCCTATCTACTTATATTTACAAACTTTAAGACCTCCAGGTAATTCTGATGCTAGCTGAAGTTTGGAAACCACTGCTCTATCCTGCTCAAAATTCTAAAATCTTAAAACAGGGCAGGTTTGTAAAGACACTACTGTGTGACTTCTGTTTTGAAACCTAAGTAATTTGCCACCCCTTTCCCTTTACTTCTCAAACATCAAAAGAATTAATGAAAAATTTCAAAAAATCAAATATTCTTAAAGTAGCATTGATTTTCCCTCCTATATATAGTTCTAAGATTAGATTTATGGTGCCACATTAATAGGACGTTAAAAATAAAGTAGCCAGGGCATTCTTTCACCTGCTAATGCTTCTCAAAATCACATCACAGCAAATGCAATGAATTATTTCCCCAACAGAAATAAGACCCTGACTTGGCAATTTTCTGCACAGCCAGCATTTTGAGAGAGGGGACACAGTTGAATTAATGCTTGGCATACACCACTGTGATGTGTATTATTATACCCACGTAATATATAGATATAAACTAGGTTTACGAGCTCTGAAATTATTTCTGGACTGCACAAGCCCAACATTAACAAGTGACTTGGAAAGAGTAATTCATAACTTTTTAAAATTCCTAAGACCCACATTGAATGACAATTTGAAATGGCCTCATTTTCTCACTGCCCATTAATGATCTTTCACCTTTCAGGTAACACTTTAAGCCTGTAGGCCTTTGCTACTGCTGACGTTCAGAAATTTAAGTCGCAAATTTCTGGAAACCAGAGTTACAATTTTACAAATCAGCATTGGGTTCCACTACTTTAGCCAGTTTTACTGATTAGTATTAGGAATAAAATCAAAGTGCTGTGCTTGTCAGACCTTTGAACTTAGAAGTAAAAGAAAGCAGAGAATGTGGCTCACACGTAATAAACAGATCTCCAAATTATTAAAAAGGCATTTTATTATAAATACATTTTAGTTGTAGCAGTAAAATACATTTTGTGTTACCATGAATCTTTTAAAACAAAAGAACTTCACTGAGACAATGATCACAATGGAGGAACTACAGACCCCCAAACCGAAAACTTGTTCTAAAGAATCAGAGTGGCTACAGTAATTCCAAAACTAAGTTAAAAAAAGAAAAGAAAAATGACAAAAAAAGGGAAGAAAAAAAAAAACCCTAGAGAGTGGCTTTGAGGTTATTTTATGGTACACAGTCATTTTTACTTTTAAGGATAAACTCTTCCTTCAGGTATTAGGACCTCTCAGATGAGGTATCACTGACTGCAAGGAAAAAACTTAATTTTGTTGTAATTTTGCCATAAATTATGATTATACATGGCTGCACAACTGAATTGGTACTTTTAAGAGATGGAAACTAACCATCTCAGTTTTATATAGCCTCCCTTTGGAAGACTTGAAAAAATAAAACTATGAATTTGCTAAGTAGTTGATTGTAGAAGTTAGCTGAACAAGTTCAGGTAAGAACTGTATTTTTGAAGCATTAAAAAAACCTGTCACTAGTAACAGGACCCCTTAATAAAATGCAAGACCCATTATCTTTATAATTTAGAGGAGAGGTATTTTAATCACCTTATTTACTAGGATACAACTACTACATATAACCAGTACCTTCGTGGGTTTCAAAGAATCAGGTCAGATGACTGGCACAGAAAGTGGATACAGTACAATGTCACATACATGGATTTAAAGGAAGCAGGCATGGTCTAGATACATGAAAATCCAAGACCCTTCCTCTGGGAGGGAGGCAGAGAAACATTCTCAGGTGTAACCAGCACACTGGGACTTCAAACCAGACAAAAGAGCCCTCCAATCTACTGAATGATAGAAAGAGGTCTTTGCATACAAGGCATTGTGCAAAGCAAAATGTAAATAACCCGAAGCTCCCTGTGAGTTGGAATTGGATAAAGTAACCTGTGCTGAACATACAATCCCCACTGAAGGTTATCAAAGCTTTTCAAGTAGGAAGTACTGTGTTTTAAGGATTCCAAAGCTGTGCATTCTATGACATTTACCATGTGTATTTCTACATCTAAGTCGTTCTATAATCTACTACCTTAAAAATATTTTTTCTCTTTCTAGTATCTCAGTAAATTCAAAGCCAAACTAAAAACCAGAGGCAGAGCCCAATACCCCTCAAGCTGCAGTCCAGGGGGGAATATTAACAATAACACAAAATTTAAAATATCCGAAGACCTGTCAGATTTATTATATATAGGCATTTTCTTTCTAAAAAATAACTTGCTCATACATGTGCACCTATGGTTTATGAAAAACTCATACTGTGTAGGTGGCAGATTTCCCCTAGACTGTTTTGCAAACTATAGAGATTTTTTTTAAAGGTGGTAAAGTAATCACTGACATTATCAATTTCCTGCCATATGCACTTCAGGCTCCCCAAATACCTGCTGGCAGAGAATCCAAAGTAACTTTGTTAACCTGAGAAACACATAATATGAAAAGCAGACCCTTTGTCTTCGTCTCCCCCCACCCCCACCCCCCAAAAAAGCCATAAAATCTACAAATACAGTATTTGGGGATTATCTATTGTTTTCAATGCCCCATGTCACTGCCATCTTAGGACAGAGCCTCCTGTACTTAGTGCCTCAAGAAATGCAAAGCGCTTTCCTGTGGCATTATGATGGCTTCCTTCCACAACGCTTGTCTCCAGGCGTACAGGTCATAGAAATCGACTCAAATACATGCATAGCTTCCTGACTAAAGCCCAGGCAGCTGTGTGCACAAAACCAGACTCACCCTAGAGATGAATGAGCGCCTGTATCCTAATGTGGAAGAGGAGCACAGACCTTACGTGGGATAGGCAACGGGTGGGGGTGGCAGCCAATCCAAAGGGCTCATCCCTCCACAGAACTCCCTCCATGAATGTTCTACTCATGGTATTAGAATTACACAAATGTCTCAACAGATCAGTTATATACACTGAGTAAACAAATGCAAGGTTCGAAGACCTTCAAACTTTCCTCTAGAGCAGCAGTTCTCAATGCCTGGTACTCAGATCAGAGGTAACACCATCACCCAGGCACCAGCCTAGAATCAGAAACCCTGGGCGTGGGGTCCAGCAATCTGATTTTAAAAGACCTCCAGGTAATTCTGATGCTAGCTGAAGTTTGGAAACCACTGCTCTATCCTGCTCAAAATTCTAAAATCTTAAAACAGGGCAGGTTTGTAAAGACACTACTGTGTGACTTCCGTTTTGAAACCTAAGTAATTTGCCACCCCTTTCCCTTTACTTCTCAAACATCAAAAGAAAGTATTAATGAAAAATTTCAAAAAATCAAATATTCTTAAAGTAGTATTGATTTTCCCTCCTATATATAGTTCTAAGGCAGGCAGTCACATGCTAGTATGCAAAATAAAATACATAAGACCTCATATATGAGGTATAGAAATAGCTAAAAAGACTCAAGAACTTAATGAAAATTCCATAGTATCATTTAATGAACTCATAGAATTATATAAAACTTACTATGCTTAATATTTGTATCAAAATAAAATCTCTCTGTTGAACATATTGCAAATAAAGTCTGGTCTAATACTCTGATTACTGAAACTATATGTATATGAATGTCTCTGGGTTTTCTTAACACTCCAGTTTAGAAGCTTTAGACTACTACTGTGTAACTGGGTTTTAGGATTTAACCACAGTTCACGTTACTAAGTCTAGATTCTTCTATCAGGTACCTCCTTTCAAAAAAAATTTAGAAACTCCTGTGACTGTTTCCTTAAAGTTTATTCCAAAGTAGATATTTTCAATCATTTCAAAAATTTTAAATACTTTTTGCCTGTTTGATATTTTAGCTTATAGTAATAACAATGCCATTTTCTGAATGTTTTATACGAATGTTAAACGTTAGCTAAGATTCACCCCTTGTAACAATCGTCTTGAAATGGCTAAACAGGTATGAACATAGTGAGGGTGAATTTTGCAGCTTTACGATAAAATCTCAGCAAATAAATATCCAACCTCAAGTAGATGGGAAATGAGAAAAACCTAATACAATGAGCACTTTGAAGACGAATGTGCCATTTACTCTTTCATGATGGTATCTTCATAATATGATGTACATCACTATGTGATATTTTGCACAAGAAATCATAGACTATTATCCATTATTTGTAACTAGTAGGTAGCTTGTGGACCAGATGGCAAATAGGAAAAAAGAAAAATCAGATCCATTAAAACATTTACTTTGATGTCCAGGAAGACAAATAGAGGGATGGTAGAAATTTAGAAACTGGGGGTTTTCATATGTTAAGGGGATGGTTACCAAGAAATGAGGTCTGGTAAATCATAAAAGACAAATTACTACCTTTGTGGAGCTAAAAGGTAAAAAAAAAAAGGTCACCTAAATAACTTTTTAAGGCAGCATTTATACCTTTCAACATATTTTAAGTTTTAATCTTGTATTTTTATAGACTTTTTCTGGGATTCCCTTTTTTAAAACACCTCTGATATGAAAGAATGCTATCTAAGTATAATAGGTGTTTCTTTTTAAATGACTATTTCAGTAAATCTGATTTTCTTAATAACAACAGCTGAAATCTAAAATTCATCTTCAAGTTGTTTTTCCCACCCTGGTTCTTAGGCCAGGTGGCCCTCTCTAGTCCAGACAGCTAGAGACACATTCTTAAATGACTATAGCTTTGCTTTTGAGATGGATATGCATGGAAAGCGTTAAGCATGTAAAATCAACTACACTAGAGCAAGATAATACTATACATTAATTATCTCAAAGTTACAAAATTCAGTTAGCTTTCTCAGCAATTTCAATGCTTCCATAAACAAGGAAACCATTTTCACAAACAGGTCTTGGAGACTGCTATGTTTAATTAGGCAATGCTTATTCAGTGGGAGTTCTGCTTATTTTACTTCTTCTGCAATTCTTCGAATTGAAAAGACCTACTGATGTTTATATGAACCCTGAACTTACTCTAGAATCTCTGATGAAAATAAAATAACAAAAACACACAAAGCAGTTTATTTCATTTGTACAAAACAACCTGAATAGAAAGTACATCTGTTTGAGGAAAGGAAAATTAAGGTCATGTGAATTTAAAAGGCCAAAATTAACTACTGATTAATCAAAAACAAAGCTCTGCTCTAACAATTTGGCAAAGCATATGCCAGAATGGCAACCAAAACCCCTTTTAAAAACACGACAGAAAATATCTACATTACACTGAATGAGGTTCTTCAAATCTTAACAAAAACTCATTTTTAGATCAGAAAAAAAAATTAGCATGAATACTCTACAAATTCTGTCACCCCAAAGAATTTAAGGTAAAAAAAAAAAAAAAAAGATAATCCCAAGTAGCACTGAAATTAAAAAGTGAAATGAATAAAAAATAGTTTTGGCAAGAAAAAGGAAACTTCAGAGTGATACAGAGAACAATGAAGTAGAACATCATGTGAACAATTAACCTCACTTTAGAAGAAGTCTGTTCTGGAAGAAAAGGAAGTTGATAATACTTGGTATTATCCAAGAGTGAACATCAGGTTTCCTCTAAAAAAAAAAAACCGAAGAAGAAAGAGTTCCATCTGAACTCCAAGGTTGAACCTGGTATGTAAATGAAGTTGTTTGTTAAGTCTGAATTGTGGATACTTGCTAACACTGCCCAAATATTACCCAAACAGCATGAACGGTATTCAGAAGCTACGCCTCATTTCAATAGAAATTTGCTATGATTTGGGTAGTCTTACAAGATACCATGCGTAACAGATTCAAAGCACTGCTGGAGAGTCAGCATTAAGTAATGCGGAGAAAAGAGGAAGCTGATTAGAGGTTGAAATATGCATTTGAAGCAGAATCTAAGAGTATCAGATGGAAACAACATTCAAATCCTTGACTAGCTGCAAAAACAATAAGGAAATAAGGAACACTCAGACACAGCAGAGCAGGGGACTCATAAGTAGCTATTATTTTTAGTTTTTTAGAAATAACTACTTAGAACAGGGATGTCTCCACAGCTCAATAGCTTGCTTATCCAAAGCTTCCTTCATCAATATATTTATATAAGGTGGTGGGTGGTGCATTTGACCTCTTTAGTTAAATATAAATATAAATAATATAAAAACTGATTTTTTTAAAGGTTCAAGTATGGAAAACAGAAGATTAGGCAATTACTTCATGACAAGGGATTAACTGAAAGCCTGACAGGACAGTTCCGTCTTCATATTATCAAAATGTTTTCAAACATTCATCTGGCTTGTGTCAGTACTGTGCATTTGTGGGGGAGAAGAATCATTTGATGAGAAAATTGGTTTTCATAAACATTATCCCATGGGGGAAATTTAATTTTCATTTGGGCTATGTCTTGAGTTTTGTCACAGAGTTGGAAATACATAGCTATATGGCAAAAATTTTTCTTCCTTTCTTGTGACAGAAGTGTACTGAGCAACATTTGATGTGGCTAAACGTGGTGACCTGACCTCATACTGGGAAAACGTGGTGCTGTAACTCGCTGGCTGTTTTCCTACTGTGACTGACACTAACCGTTAACATGCCTGCAGTCTCCAAGTCTACAGCTGCCACTCAGAGCCCCGCAGCCCCGGCCAGGAAGCCATATATAAACGATCTGCTCTCTGAGCAGACAGACTGAGGGAAAGACGCACCCTTCATTCGTCCCTTAGGCTTGCTGACCTTTAACTAAAGGCACGCTCTTCTCCTAAATTGTCTTGAGGGTTACAGGGGCTTTAGCTGGCCTACATCAACTAAACGCCAGTCAAATAACAGATGTAAACAGTTTTTCTTTACCCCTGCCACTTTTCCACACTGTTTTAAAAATGTAATGCGAAATAGGATGGCCTATTCAAAAGGAGTCCTCCAAAAAGCTGTTTTTGAATGGATCGTCAGGGTCCATTGGTTCATTTGCAGTTTCCCAACCTCATCTTAATTTAAAAAAAAAAAAGATTATGTTGTAATTTCAAGATATCTCTGAAGTATCAAAGTAGTACTATTAGATCAGGAAAACAATAAGGACATGCATCATTTCAAATGTGTTACAAGACCACAAGTTTTAAGAGGATAAACGTTTTCCTTTGGATTTTACCAAAGTTCATTCAAAACAATTTTTTGATCGTAGTATATTTAAGGTAGCTATTTAAATTTTATATTTTTATACAAGTGCAGTAGGGTTGTTTTAGAAGAATTGAAAAGACATGAAAAAAAGGGTAGCTTTTTGCCCCAGATTTTGATGAATTTTGATACATCTTTGACAAACGTTTCTTTTTAATGGTGTTCCCCAAACAAAACAGTTAGCAAAATATTTGAACTGCCATATATAATGTCACATTTTAATGTAAACATCAAATAAGGTACCAAAATTTTTACTGGAGGGAAAAAAAAACAAACCTTAAAGCGGCACAATTCTTTATACCACTGGAGAGGTGGGGAAAGCCAGATTACAAACATTTACACATGCATAGTGAGAAAAAAAGGATTTTACTAAATTCACGCATTTTTAAAATAGTTATCAAGTCTACTAAGCACCAACAATCCTAAAAATTTTTCAGCTTCATGATTTGTTTAAAAAAAAAACACACACACTATCAAATTAACATTAAAAACAAGCTTGGAGTATAGCTTGTCCAAAAAAGAACTAAGTATGCCAGTGTTTTTTCACGTTACAAAAAACAGTGGCATACAAAATACATCTGCAAAGAATGCCTTTAACTCTACCCTACAGTGGATGGAGATTACAACAGCACGTCATAGATGGTCTAAAACTATAAAAGTTTTAGAATGCAGCATCTTGTCACAAAAAAAGCTGATAAAACTTAAAAGTATTTAGAAGATGCTGCCCCTTTATTTTAAAAAATTTTAAATGAATTTAAGCAAAAATAACATACATTTGTACATCAACTGGCCATTTCTGGTACAGAAACCCAGCATATGGTAATATTATTGAATAAATGTAAATGCTACTTACAATTTTTTTTCTTTTTAAATACATTTTAGACAAAGTTTTTTTTATTTTTCTTTATAGTTGCACAATTAACCTCTTAGCTGCTAGCTTGATGCAAACATATGTAACAATACACAAATTTAAAAATATTTTTTATTCTACATAAAAGCTGTCAGAATTCCGACTCACGTCAAAAATGCAAAATAATGGAATATACTTAAAAAAAAATTAGTTGCAAGTCTAGCAGCAAAGCAATTAAGTGAGAACATGTTTGATGTTAAAACAAAGGTAGCTGTGCACCTACAGATGAAGTCCAACTATCTTAACTCTATGGATACAAACAGAAATTAAAACATTCTCCCTTGAGAAAAAAAAGTGATTATTTAAAATAGGAGTAAAAGCCATTGCTGCCTGATGAGCTCCCCAGGCTAAGTTCCTGGAACAGAGACAGAGGGTCACTACTCTTCTTGGCCTGCTCAGGCGGGGGCCTGGGCTTGGGCGGGGCCCGCAAAGCGCTGGCATAGGACATGGCAGGCTTGCTGCCCCCAGAGCTCTGCTGGCTACTGCTGTTGGCCGACTCTGCGATTTGCTTGTTCGGCATGAGCGGGGGAAACTGGCCGAGATGCTGCAGCACATTGTAGTTGAAGGAACTGGACATCTCGAGGCTCTCAGACTTCAGCTGATCCTCAGGGGGCTTGGCGGTCTTGGGTGGAGCTAAAAGCAGAGAACAGTAACACTGATTTAAGGGTTAAACCCATAGTATTCATGTATCTCATTAACTCAGGGTCTCACAACTGGTTCTCAGCTGGAGGAACTCAGTAATAGCATAGCCACAAGGACAGATTCTGCTGCAGAATGTTGAAATCACGACACATCTAACCAAACCTCTCCATCTTAGAAACACTCACAGAAGAATTAACTACGGAAATAGGAATGGCTAACATAAAAACCAAAGGTCAAATCTGAAGGTTTGCTTCAAAAACTATCTGTACAATTGTACACTCTGGTATTTCTTATACTAATGCTCACACTTTGAAAATGGGAACAAACACGTTCTTTCTTAATTAAAAAAGGAGCAGTATCTGCAGACTTTTCTGATCAGAATAGCTCATATCACTAACCTAAGTCATTGTAGCATTGGATTCCATTTCTTAAAAATGCAACTTTTTTTTTCACATCTAAGAACACATGGAATAAGGGGAGGGAAAAACAGCTTTAAACTTCAGTTTACATTTCTTATATGTAATCTGCCTGACTTGCAAGTTTTTTTAAAAGTTGACTTCACACTTCCTATTTTATTGCCAACTAAACTGTTTTCAAACATTGCTTTTGTTCTCAATCTTTTCCAAATTTAACTATTTAAATTAGGGGAGGAAAAATAATTTTCCCTGTACCCTTCTAGGTTGTTAGCTGAAACACCCCCCTGTAATAAAAGATAGATTAACAGGAGAAAAATAAAGGTTTAGTAACATGTATACCTCCTGTATACATTAGAAGAGACCCCAGGAAGACTGAGTAACTCTGAAATGGCACAAGTAATGACCACTGTAAATGATGTCCCCAGCTAAAGACAAAAGAAAATGTGCGGTGCACTACCTGGAAAAACATGGAAAACAAGGGTGAGTCTGTTATGCAGATTTAAGTTGTTGCCTTTTCCACTGATCAGAGTTTCTAGAGATTTAGAATCATCCTTCGCTTCCAGGTACAGAGGGAGACACTCTTACAAATGGAACATTCCCTTATAAATGTCTCTTTTAAAGGGGTGACTTTTACCAAGTTTTCAGAGCTTCTGTGTTTGCAGGTTCTTTAAAATCATCAGCCTGAAATATCCTTATGCCAAAAAGGCATACATTTGAAAGTGGCAAATTCTGCCCCCCTTCACTAACATTATATTGGATGACAATCATAATACATATACATTGATGATAATTTGGAAATTATGGAAAACACCAAAGAAGAAAATAAGTCATTCATATTCCCAAATACCAGAGATATGCCTTAACTTGGTGGTGTGTTTTTTCATAAGGACATCATATGATGCAGATATTTCTTAAGTAACCTCTCATTTTTAGAAATTTGAATGATAGTCAATTTTTCACCTTTGTACACTGTGATGTTATTATGGATACGTATTTCAAAATATCCCATAGGGTACATCCTTAGAAGTGTAACAGCAGGGTCATATATACCCAGTTAAAGCTCTTTATAATTCTGGCCAAACTTCCCTGCAGGAAGGTACTGCCTAATTATATTCCATCAATGTTTACCCATTTCCCTACTCATCACAATACCAATGGTATTGTTTTTTAACCTTAGCCTATTTTATAAAGAATTATCTTGTTGTACTTCTAATTTGTATGTCTTTGACTACCGGCATTTATGGATATTTTTTCCTATGTTTATTACCAATTGGTGGATTGGTTGGTTAAGGTAAAAATATTTCATTTTTTAGTCTTAGCATTTCATTGATTCGATATGCTAATTTCATAGTACTATTTAAAAGTTTAAAAATTCATGACATTGTTCAAAATTATTTTAAACCACTTAACATCTTTCTAGAACATTAATTACTTTTCCATCTGAAGTCCCTTATTTTGTCCATAAAACAATTGCTTTAAAGAGCATTAGTTTAACAAACATTTCTATATGAAAGTGTCCTCTACTGCCTAATATAATAAATAAAATAAACATTTTACTAGCTGTTCAAGAACTTACTATTTTTATTTACTGAGATTTATTATTTAACCGTATTCTCATTTTTATGACAATATTACAAAATAATTTTAAAGGCAGTTTAACGGAATGCATAGTTACCTAACTGTGAATGAAAGGTCTCTATTAATTTACTATATATAATCCAGAAAAGAAAAACTCTTTAAAACTGAATTTTACTAATCTGACAACGAATGCTATTTTTCACATGACAACTATCTACCTAATCTTAAATTTTTTTTCAAGCATTGAAAGAAAATGCCTGATAAAGTATGTCTTGTCACCAAGTTAAGTGAATAGAACCCAAACACATCCTTTTGGGAGGGCACACCCCCTCAGGGCACCAGGATACCACAATGTTTGAAAGCCTTGCAGTGCACTGGGTAGACCAGGATCCTCAACTGCCCAGGATCTATTTTTATCATCTCCTTCCCCAACACACATTTACCAAGAGCCTGAAGTGTGATCAGGGCCCAAATGGGAAATCCAAAGTTCAGAAAGGTCAAAAGCATGGCCTTTGTTCTCTGGCTTACAATTGTGGAGAAAATATGGCCGTACTGGACACAATGATCTCTTTTAAATTCCAAGCCAATGTAATAGAACAGTTTTCTTCAACTCAAGAAATAAGTCTCAAACTTCGGAAAGAAGTTTCTCATGTCATGATTATTTTTCTCCTGATTCATGACTGGCAATTGCTATGTTCTTCTAAAAACAAATAAATACCGACAGACAAGAAGTTGTGCTTCAGGATTTTAGTGATTTTGAATTCATTTTTAAATACTTACTCGGTTTGTGGTCATTATGATTCTGAGCAATCTTTCCTTTACCATTGCAGTTGGCAGTAACTGGGAATCAGATGTTAGATTACTGTTACTTTCAACTAAAGAATACTACAATTTGTCTCAGCACTGGAGAAAATAATAATTTTATATTTGTGGAAAATATATCATAAATGACACGTGCTTTGGGCATTTATTCAGCAATTGTCTACCTTATCAGCTCAGGTTAGATTTTTACTGATTTTGGCCAAAAACTATCCTGAAATTAAGGGGAGGATATAAGAGAAATGATGCCTTTAAAATAAGTTATAATAAACAAAACAACTAAAAAATACCACATTTTTGTCACAGATTTATAGTTTAAATGTTTCTTGGAAATTCAAATATGATAATATGACAGCATTTATGTCAGACCTTTAAAGTGACAAAGGAACCCCGGGAAAAATACAGTAGCTTATACATAGTAGGTACTAATAGATGTTTAAAGATAAAATGACAATGTCTCTTGCCAGGAAATACAACCAAAATCTTTTTAATGCTTTTTTGCCCTATCGTATCTATTGTTCTAAAAATATGCTTGTATGCTACATACTCAAAAATAGGTCAGTTATAGAAACAATGGATTAATATTCTAAAGATGAACAAAATTAATTTCAAATACAAAAGGTTGATGCTACCAAGGCAGAAGTTCACCCAACAATGATCACAGACTTGTTCACAATGAGCAATGCCTACAACCTACAGAGAGAAGGCTCTAGATTAGAGAACTCAAATGGCACCATTGTTTCTTTAGGTTCAACATAAAGGAAGAGGGAAGAATGGAAAGATGAAAGTGCATTTGTGTTCAAGGATAAAGAGAAAGACTTTAGATGTCTCGACACACAATACACGGTGAGGGCCTCATGCACTCCAATGACTTTCTATGCTTTTTGTTCTCTTTAGTCTTGGATTTCTCAGTTCATTAAAATACATGGATGGAGTAAACACAAAAAACGTGTTTTCTAAGTCTCTAAACCTCATAATGTTAGACTTTACTAGTTTCTTTTGTGGCCAAACTCTATTTTACAGTTAACTGTCAATGACTTTACTGACAATAAATCCTTGAAAACTGATACTGAACCAACCAACTTTCCCCACCAACCCAGAAGGAAAAATAAAAAACTGGAAACTTTTCCCAAGCAAAAGTGATTCTATTTAGAAATACACTTAAGTTTCTTTACTTCTTTCATGCATTCATAGGTCAAAATGATCAATTCCCAAATAGGAATAGATCTACTTACCTTCCAGATCATAAATATGCAATCAATATAATCCTAAATTAGTATGTCTGCCTGAGGCACACCTAGGAACTATGAGCATTATTATTCAAAGGCAATAATGCAAATTAGGGGGGCAGGAGAAGAAAAATTCCATAAATACACAGGAGCTGAAGAGTTAAAACTGCAGTTTTAGCTACCCTCCAACTCTGTCTTACCTATCAACTCCCTGGGCTGAGCTGTCCTGCTGGATCCATTGCACGGAATGTTCTGATAGGGGGTAGATGAGGTGGTGTTTACCCAGGACTCCGGGGATGAAAAGTTGAAAGAATGGTTATTATGGTCCTGAAGCTCTTTACATTGAGCAAGACTATCTTGAGGAGTGCTTACTTCTTCAGAACAAGGCTGGACTGAGCTAGATGAGATTCTTCTTTGGTACAAGGGCCGACCAGGTCCTCTGGGTTCATACTATACAAAGAAAAAAGGCATTTCATAAATCAGTGCAACTTAAACCCCCCTCCCTTAAATACACAGCAATCTCACTGTACCAAGGAGAAGTTTTCAAAAATATTATCTTCTGCAACTATGAAAACCCCTTGAAAAGCTGCCTGAGGTCTGGACATGGTGTCAGGACACGTGGGTTCAAAATTCAGTTCTGGCCTTTAGTAGGGAGTCCTGTGACAACACACATCTAATTACTGGCTCTGTTTTCTTGTCTATAGAATAGGGAGATGAACTACCTACCTGTCTTTAATTCTAAAATTCTACTGATATTTTAGGTAACATAAGATTAAGAATACAAATAAGGAAATATATCTGTGCAGAATTAAATGAAATTACATTCACTATCAATTGAATCACAGCCATCTTGTACAATTATCATTCTAGACTTCTCTCTTGTGCCCGAGTCTTCATGAACTCCTGATTTTTTATTCCTTAGACCTGATGGCAAGACATGACTCCTTCTGCCCAACACAAGTCTTCCAGGTAGGACTCACTGTACGGCTTCTTTTGGACAGTCTTCAACTGAGACACAGCATTCATTACTTTCTTCAAAATATCCTTTATATGTTTGAAACTCAACTAACTTATTCCTTATAGCTGTTCCTTCCTAAACTGTACAACCCAAATTCCTTTAATCCTCCTGACAAGATCTATTTGCCAGCCATTTAAAGAATTTTATTATTACCTAAGCACTCTCCATTTTTCTTGCCTGACTGTTGTGCCCAATGGTCAGCCCCAGGTGTAGTGGCGGGCAGTAGGGTGGTAGGTAGGTAGCCATGCAGCCTCTGTCTAGAGCCAGACTATCTGGATTAGACTTCAGGCTGCCTTTTACTAACAGTCACCCTGGGCAACTGACTTAACCTCTTGGAGCTTCATCTGTAAATGTGGCTTCATTATCCACAGCACCTACCTCTTAGGACTGCTGTGAGAATTAAATGAGTTCAACATATGTAGCATTTAGAACTGTCCCTGGTATACAGGAAGGAACTGTTGTTATATAATTGTTTTAATGTGACATATAAAGCTTCCATGTTAGATCTTAAATGACAGAATGGGATTGGCTTTTTATTGCCCCCACCCCCACCCCACTGTGGTAACAAATTTGTTATTCGGTTTGTGGTCATTATGATTCTGAACAATCTTTCCTTTACAACTGCAGTTAGCAGTAACTGGGAATCAGATGTTAGATTACAACAAAGAGAGCGATGAATTGGTGCAGTAATGCAAAGGTGTTCTGTGGGACTGTAAGCAGCACAAGCAGGTATTGTCAGGCCGATTATACAGAAGAAAGTGTAGGTGTAAGCACTATGTGGGTCATCACAGATGGAACCACGAGGATAAACCCAGGGAAGGGAATGGCTGCCCTTGTGCAGAAAGGCAGGGAAGAAGGGAGGAGAGCAATTTTCTCACTATTAAATGATGAGTGTCCAGGTTATTTCTGTATTTCCAAAGATTTAGCTACTGGATGGGGAAAGCAAGAGATGATGTTTCCATCTAGTTACTTTTTTCATATGTATTTATTGTTCTTCTGCCTCTAAGTATAAAGCTAAATTCATCTTTAACTTAACTCCGCTTTAGAGGCCATTTTTTTCAATAGTCAAGATCATTCTGAATTTTGATCCTGGCTTTCTAGAAAATTAACCATCCTAACTAAATTAGTGTCAGGCCTGAATTTAATCAGCACATCTGAAATTTGTCTAGGTCATTAAATTATGGTATTCAGGGGAAGAACCAACTTTTCTAACTGCTTTATGTCCTCTGTGGCCAGGCAATCTTGGGTGACTGGCCATGACAGCTTGTGCAGTGTGACTTTTTCTTTTTTTTATCAAGGTTTGTTATGAGTATGAGGATGATTGGCTCTTAGAATCAAAATGAAGTGTTTCTCTTTGCAGCCATGCCCTGAGTGCTTCGCCCAGTCACAATCTGCAGGGGGCACATTCCAAAGTCTTTGAGTATGAATACTTAAGTGTAAACTGAGGTCT